AAATATGAAGCCGTAGGTTGGACTCTATCATTATCCATATTTGAAATCCAGCTTTTAAATCCAAAAACATAAGGACTGTCAACATTTTTAATGTAGGTCTGAGGGTGTCTTAGCAACGCGTTGGCTTGAGATATCCATTTCCTCTACACGCGAGACGCATGCACCCGAGGACAAATCTTGGGGCAGCGCTTCGTGTCTTCGAACGAAGAAGCAAAGTCTCAGAGAGTGCACCAATGAATAAAGAGTTAGGCTGCATAATCTGGCGGTAGCTTCAGACATTAGGTCCCCAGTTGGCGGCCTGTCTCAAGTAGGGCTAACAACCCCATTTACCTTTATACAAATATGAATAGGCACGGAGGTAGTAACTCTAGAAGGATCTTCAAGTACAGCTGTCACGTCTCTCAACATCATTGCCCCGCATGCTGTGCTTGAGGGCAAGCGCATTACCCTGAACAACGCATTGCTGCCTCCTCTGGAGGTGCTGCTAAAACTCTTGCCTCTCCAGTTCCTTAGCTCTGATCACGCCTTCGCAGTCTCGAACTATGTTAACTTGTTCGCTTCAAAAAGGGTAGATGCTTCACTCGGTATGCTCTCCGACGTTTGCGAGCGGAGGATTCGCCAACTGCTGTCTGTCTGTCTGTTCTTATAATTTCTTCTTTTGCTGGGGCTGCTATTAACAGCCTCAATATCCATAGGCTTTATATCTGTGCATGCATCGCTATATTCCCTTGTTAATACTTCCTTAACTAAGCCATAACCAACTCCTGCAAATATGCCTGCATCGTCTCTATATATTGTAAATGCTCAAGCAAAAATGATGTCTCCTCCCACCTAATAATGAGGATAGACTGGCGCCTGTGGGCCCTTGGGTATATTTTGAAGACGTGTGTAGAGCTATCAAGTGTAAGAAGACTCCTCTACCTTCGCCAGGGACCAACTCACGTAATATCAGGATCCCGCAAGAGAAGCTAGCTGCTTCTGCTGTCTACATGCGTCCTACCTAAGCACAGACTTATAAGAGAGAAGAGCTGCTGCAGATAGCAGGGGGGCCCTACGCCTTGCAGCACTTTTAAACTTCAACTCCTCCCCTAAGGCACCTCCATATACACCCCGATCTCTCATGTCGCCGCCGTTGGATGCATGCATTATCACTATAGGCAATGTTAAAATATTACTTTGGCTTTACTAGCCAGCCCTCTCCCCAGCAAGAGTGCAGCTACCCGCCTTGCAGATACCCCTCGTAACTTGTAATAGAGACGGGGAATAATATATAAGGAGACAGTTGGAAGAGCAAAGCCACACAGGCAGACAGATGAAGAAGGAAGCAGCCCCAAGCCCCTCTAAGAGACACAACCAACCGTCTGGGGGCCCCTAAGGGCCCCCGCCTTACATAGGTTTGAAGAAGGAGACAGCAATGAGCGTGCAGGTGCAGGCTTAAGACCCGGGGAGAAGCTAGAGACAGCTGCTGGCTTTAGTATTCTTCTTCAATGTTAAAGGCTCAGTGTTAAGGCACTCTATTAGGAAGAAGATATACAATATATAGAACTGCTTCCCTAAGATTGCTGCTGCCGTCGCTCTCTTCTTAGATGGGGTGTACGTACAGGTTATATAAAGCGGAGGCTCCAAGTGTCTCCGGAGGTTGAATAAACAGCAAAGGGCATTAATAAACCCCCAAAAGAAAGAAATAATCTCGAAATAATAACACCTAAACCCTAAACCCTAAACCCTAAACCCTAAACCCTACGCTCCAGTCCCCGAGCACGCCGTCCCAGGGGCCCCCCGCAACAGCATCAGCAGGGAGAAAGCTGGGCCCTAATGCAGCATAGAGGGGAGCTGTCTCTTTATATGTTTTTTATAGGTGCATGCAGTAGTATATCTGCGGTGTACGTACACCTCAGTGGGTAGAGGCGGCTGCTGCCAGCCTAAAGGAGGCCCTGTAAGGTTGCGTGAGGTTTCTTCTCCTTCTTCGGGGCCCCCCACGCCCTATAATTGTTTTTTGTTATGTTTGAAAGGAGGCAATAACTTAGATAAACGCTTATAAACTATTGAGAAGGGCTGTCGGCAGCAGCAGGAGGAGGAGGAGCAGCAGCAGCCGCTGCTGCAGCAGCAGCAGCAGCAGCAAGAACCATTTCAGCTGTATGTACACCCCATTCTCAAGCAACACCCCACAATGAGCATCTTCACCGGGCGCTCTGGGGCCCGGGGGACCGGATCCCGTATCCCTACTGGGCCCCCGTCTATGAACAACACGACGACAGCTAACAGCAGCAGCAACAACAACATAAGCAGCAGCAGCAGCAGCAGCAGCAGCAGCACGTTTGAAGCATCTACGCGTGCCTCAGGGATGCAGACAGGGCAGCAGCTGGTGGAGCGCCTCTCAGATGTCTCTGCAGACGCATTAGAGAAGGCTAGGCAGATTGTTGCTTCTATGAGAGGTGGTTCTGCTCAAGGAGAAGCTGCTGACGCTAACAGCAGCTATTTACTTTGCTTTCAGCTTCTTAAGCTCGCAGGTCTAGAAGCAGAAATACCCAGACTCGTCGTCTTTGGCCAGCAAAGCATGGGGAAGACTACACTCCTAGGTCAGATGCTGCTGCTGCTTCTGCTGCTCCTGTTGCTGCTGTCGTTGTTGTTGTTGCTGCTGCTGTTATTGTTGTTGCTGCTGGTGCTGTTGTTGTTGCTGTTGCTGTTGCTGTTGCTGCTGCTGTTCCTGGTGCTGTTGGTGCTGCTGTTGCTGTTGCTGCTGTTGCTGCTGCTGCTGCTGCTGCTGCTGCTGCTGCTGCTGTTGCTGATTCTGCTTCTGCGCCTTTTCCTCCTCCTGCTGCGTCTCTACCGCTGCTGCTACTCCTGCTGCCGTGCTGGCTGTTGATACTGCAGCTGTTCCTTCTGCCGCTGCGGCTGCTGCTACTTGGATCCTGCTGCTGCTGCTGCTCTAGATGGTCGTGCTGCTGTTGGGAGGGTTGCTGCTGCTGTGGCTGCTGCTGTTGCTGCTGATGCTGCTGCTATACTGGCATCAGCTGCTGCTGCTTCAGCAGATTAGGGGGGTAGGGGTCTAGGCAGCGTCTATATTTTAATTTCTTTCTACCCGAGGGAGATAGAGCCGCGATGAAAGCGCAGCAGCAGCAGCAGCAGCAGCAACAACAGCAGGAACAGCAGCAGCAGCAGCAGCTGTGGCGGCAGGATGAGCCCCACGAGGTGCCGCACAGCAGCAGCCGCAACAAGACCAACAGCAGCAGCAGCAGGTCGTGTTGCTGGTCTGTCTCCTGCTGCTGCTGCTTTAGCAGCAGCAGCAGCAGCAGTAAGAACAGCAGCAACAGCAGGAACAGCAGCAGCAGCAGCAATTGCTTGTGTGTTTTATGTGCAGATTATATAATGGGGGGCCCCATAGGGTACAGCAGCACAGACACCGGGACGCGGCAGCCAGTAGTTGTGATGCTGAGGCCGAGCGAGACGGGGACTGTCTCCTGCTGCTTGAAGGGACAGCAAATAGATATAAAAGAGCTTCAAAGTAAAATGAAAGAGATCATGGGGGCCCAAGGAGACAATATTACCAACCAAGAACTCGAAGTCGAAATCGCCGTACCTAATGGTATCATCTGCTGCTGCTGCTGCTGCTGCTGCTGCTGCTGTTCCTTCTGCTGGTGTCTTTGTCTTTGTCTCTGTCGCCGTCCTCTTCTTTCTTTTTCTGTCTCTGTCTCTGTCTCCCTTTCTCTTTCTGTCTCTGTCTCTGCCTCTCTCTGTCTCTGTCTCTCTGTCTCTGTCTCTGTCTCTGTCTCTGTCTCTCTCTCTCTCTCTCTCTCTCTCTCTCTCTCTCTCTCTCTCTCTCTCTCTCTCTCTCTGTCAGTCTGTCTGTCTCTCTCTCTCTCTCTCTCTCTCTCTCTCTCTCTCTCTCTCTCTCTCTCTCTACTCTCTCTCTCTCTCTCTCTCTCTCTCTCTCTCTCTCTCTCTCTCTCTCTCTCTCTCTCTGTCTCTGTCTCTTTCTGTCTCTGTCTCTTTCTGTCTCTGTCTCTGTCTCTCTGTCTCTCTGTCTCTCTGTCTCTCTGTGTCTGTCTCTCTCTGGTGTTTAATTAAACGAATTCGTTTGTCTTTGTCTTGAATGGATGCTCTTTGATTTTCTCTCCTCTGTCTCTCTGTCTCATAAAAGACACATAAATTATACATTTAAATAAATATAAATAAATAAATATATATATATGCATATAAATATGCATATATATCGACTTGCATGCATACATACATATATAAATATATATACATACATATATGTATATATATATATATGTATATATACCCTTTATATATATATATATATATATTTATATATACCCTTTATATATATATATATATATATATGTATATATTTATATATACCCTTTATATATATATATATTTATATATAGCCATTAATATTATTATTATTATTTGTTTTGTACTTTTTTTTGTATGTGTCTCCTTAGGAGTGCATGCAGTGTTTGTGGACTTGCCTGGGATAAAGGACGATTCTAAGACAGGGGCTCATCAGACAAGAGCAGTTGTCCGAGGATATGTTCAGAGCAACCCTAACGACCTTTATCTTTTAGTAAAGAAAGCCAGCGACGACCCTGCTAACTGGCCGTGGAGTCTCCGAGAGTTTATTCTGTCTCCTGCACCGAAAGGTATTATCATTATAAGAGTTATTATTAGTTTATCTATATCTATATTTCTATATCTATCTATATATGTATATATCTATATATATCTATATATGTATATATATATATATATATAAGATATTAAACAAGCTATGATCTCCTTATTGTATAAAACAAACACATGGAGGAGCAACAGCTGCTGCAACAAACTACAAAAGGAGACAGCAAATATATCGATGTACTCAGCAGCAGCAGCAAACACCAGCTCTATATCCACATATACAAAACAAACAAATTGATGCTGCTGTCTCCTCCTGCTGTCTCCTTCTGCTGTCTCGTGCTGCTGCATGCGGCTATACATAGATTAGGGTCTACGTGTGTGTGTCTCTTGTCTGTCTCTCGCCTCTGCTGCTGATCTAGCAGCAGCAGAGCAGCGGCAGCAGCAGCAGAGCATCAGCGGACCTGCTGTAAGTGCATGCTTGCATGCATGCATGCACCTACAGTGTACATGTGTCTCCTGTCTCCTCTTCTGCTGCTGCAGGCTTGGGGCTGAGCCCTTCACAAACAGTTGTTGTGGGCACCCGAGCGAGAGAGTTCCTGCAGAATGAGAAGAGCGATGTAAAGACGCAGCAGCAGCTTCTAGACAGAGTACGAAAGAGAGCTGTCAAGGTGAGCAAGCAGCAGCAGCAGCAGCAGCAGAAACAGAGCAGCAGCAACGGCAAAAGCAGCAGCAACAGCAACAGTAGCAGCAAGCGCAGAAGAAGCAGCAACTGCAGCAGCAGAAAGCCCTCTCTTGAGGGGCTTCATTGCCTCACTTCTTCTTCTCTCGTTGCTCTTGTCTCTGTCTGTCTCCTTTTATTTAAGCATCTGTCTCCGTCTCCTTTCATGTCTCTTAGCATGTCTCTTGCCCTTTCACTTATTGTCTCTCTTTGTCTTTCTTTTTGTCTGTCTTTGTCTGTCTCCCTGTCTCCTCCTTTGTCTCCTTTTATCTCTCGCTTTGTCTCCTTGTTGCTGGGTATATGTCTCTGTCTCTTTTTATCTGTCTTTTCCTCTTTGCGGTGTCTCTGCAGCTGTCTCTCTTCTCTTTCTGATGCATACAGTGATGATGGAGTGTTTTGTTTGTTTTGTCGCCGTCTACGTCTACTGTCTTCTCATCTCTGCTGTCTCCCTGTCTCTTCAAGGGGCTGCTTAAGTGTCTCCTCTTCATCTGTCTCCTCCTCATTTGTCTCCTCTTAATATGTCTTCTTCTCTCTCGTGCGGTGTATATATATCTCTATTATATACGCATAATATATATACATACATATATGTATATATCTACATATATATATATATATACATATATATATATATATACATATATACATATATACATATATATATATATATATATATTGTTTGTGTAGGACGCTAACGGGGATCCGATGCCGTTATATTTATTGGAGTTATTTTCACTGTCTCTGGAGGAGAAGGAGAAAGGAGACTTTTCGACAAGAAAGGCGAGCATGCAGAGACAAATGGAGACAGGTCTTAAAGACGTTGAGCATCTCTTAACAACTGCATTTGACCCCTCGCCTGATTATCAAACGCTTGCAGACTTCTTCAGCCCGCATAAATTTAAGTCGGAGCTCAATAATAAGTTCCAGGTAATTCATATATACACATTTATTGTAAAGGAGACACTTTAAAAGGAGACACTCTAAAAGGAGACACTTCAAGAGGAGACACTTGAGAGGAGACATGCACATACCCACACGCAGAGAGAGACAGGCAGAGACAGAGACAGAGACATAGACAAAGAGAGACAGAGACAAAGAGAGACAGAGACAGGGATGAATACAGAGTGAGAGGGAGACAGAGCCGGGGCTTCATTTTGCGTCTGCTGATTTCTTCATGTGCTGCTGCGTTGCTTCGCGGCATCCTTTGAGATGTCCCTCCCTGTCTCTGTCTCTGTCTCTTTCTCGTTGGTCTCCTTTTATCTGTCTCTCCTTCGTACCGTGCTTCCGCATGCAGCGCAAGCAGCAGGCGCTGCTGCTGCTGCTGCTGCTGCGTTTTCTCGTGCACCATGGCTGCACCTCTGCAATCACGGCTGCTCCGTCTGCTGCTGCTGCTGCTGCTGCTGCTGTTGCTGCTGCAGGCGCTGCTGTCTGAGCAGCTAAGTTCGCTGGAGAGACGGCTAACAAGGAAGCGAAGAGACACTCAGAAGAAGATCGCTGAGCTTGAGGACCAGTTGGTGCAGCAGTCGCCACAGTCAATTCGGTACGGTGTCTCCTCATGTGTCTCCTTTTGTGTCTCCTCATGTGTCTCCTTTTGTGTCTCCTCCTGTGTCTCCTCGTGTGTCTCCTGTTGTCTGTCCTTATGCGTCTCCTCTTGTCTCCTTATATGTCTCCTTATGTGTCTCCTCATGTGTCTCCTTTTATCTCCTTATGTGTTTCCTTAGGTGTCTCCTCATGTGTCTCCTTTTGTGTATGTGTCTCCTTTAGCCCTTTTTCATGAGCACGAACATCGTCCATTTCTATTTATATGTATCTTTATATATATATATATATATATATATATATATATATCTATATATGTATATATATACATGATATATATATATATACATATATATGCATATATATTGATTTACCTATATTATATATGTTTGTAGTATGTTGGCTTCCCTAAAGGTCTCCTTATCTGTTTAGCATTATTTTAAAACAATAAAATAATTAATAAAATCAGAATAATTATATAATAGACCATTTAACATTGTTTTTGTGTTTTGTTTATTAGGGAGTATGTAAAGCTGTACTTAAGAGAATTGCTTCAAATTGTTACAGAGTTAATGACTGGTAATTATGTTATTATTCGCTTACCTAACGGAGGAGCTTCTTTTATGGATCAGTATGGAGGAACATTGCACGAAAATTTAGAGGCAGGGCATCGACTTTGCTGCGAGCTCTTCACGGATCCCGAGCAGTACGATCCCAAATTCTTAGATTATACTAAGGTGAGGAGACACCTCATTAATCAATACTTGTGCAAACACCTCAGTTA